ACGCGCCAGGCACATACGCGGATACCTCGTTCGATCGTAACGGTTCCGAGAAGTCCGGAGATTTAACGGCGTCGGAACTCGGTGTCGGGATTCCGTGTGACGCATGTACGTGTAAACAGCTACGGCGTCGCACGGGGGTTGAACACCCTAAAATTAGCCCCGGAGCGGGACACCGCGTGTACGCGACCGGGCCCCGACACCCACACGCCTGGAGAGCGTGAAAAAATGCTTACATTATCATCCGTAATTTCGTAAACACCCGACCGGCGACGTGCGACATGCGTCGTTGCGGGTGGCCCTCGATCGACCGTTACGCTCCGAGAGGCAGCGATCGGAAGAATATCCGAAAAAGATATCGCTCGTACACGGATAATCTGTCCGGTCTGTATCTCTTTGCGCAAAATAATATCCGCAAATCGCTCCGATATAATAAAGTATTCACGAGCGCGTTATAATTCGGCATAGCTGAGCGCGGCGGGGACGCGCGTGCTTAATTAATTGCCTATTTCAAATTCGTATTACGCGTCGGCCGTGGCTGGATAGCCGCGGGCATGCACACCACCCTCGTTAGCGTGGCGCGAACGGGCTGGGTCGGAGAGGCGCGTCTACTCGCGGTAGATGTGTCAATTAAATACGAAATTACCGGTAAAACGGCCGCGATAGACGATATGACAAGGTCCAACGTTTAGCGTTTAATGTCATAATGACGTTTGCATTTTCGAGCGCGGCCGCTCAATGTTTACTTTATTTCGCATTAAAGCGCGATTAAACAGCTATCGCCTCGCTCTCGCCACGAGCGCGCCTATTCGAATATTCGTATTAATTCGCCGCGATACCGTCCTCGGGGACGAGACATCCTCCGAGGCGTCCCCGTTTAACAAAACTCTTCAACGTAAACACGGCGCGTCGCGTTTCCTATTTTTCTTTCGATACTCTCGATTAAATTTATACCAAGCTCACACAGCGTCACAGAGGAAAAAAAAGAGAGAGAGAGAGAGAGAGAGAGAAAGAGATCTCGTTACGTTTTCCACCTGTCGTTTCGTCCGTTTGTTGCCCGTTTGCGGCAGTCTCGCGATTATGCGAGAGGCAAGGAACGCGCTCGGAAAAACAAGCGATAAATTAACGAGGCAAACAGATCTGTTGTTTTTATCCCTCCGCGCGCGCGTACATCCGGCTTTGTCGAAGGAGTCAACATAGACGGGATGTAATCGCCGCTGGATAACGAGATGGGGCAGACGGCGATGAAATCGCGACGATGATCGATGAGGCCGGCGCCGCTTGTAAACTCGAAAGGATCAACGACACCCCTAATATCGCCAGTAACAATCGAATTCGTTTCTGTCCTCCCATTCGAGACATCTTCCGTGTAACATCGCGCTTCCGTTCTATCAATTTTCGTCTGAGAGACTGCGCCGGTTATTCGATTTTTCCTGTGTACCGACACCAATTTCCATTGGTCCGTTCGTTGCTTTCCAGGGCTCACCCTCCAGTCCACACCCCTCAACCGCTAGTTTCCTTCTCTCCCTCCCCCCTTCTCTCCCTGTAGCTACCTTCCCCTCTCTTCTTCCTCACCGTCCACACCTCTTTCGTTGTCTCTCCCTCTCCCTGACCGTCTCACCCTCTGAACTCGCTCGTTCTTTCTCACTCTCGCGAGACGCTGATTTCCGCGAAAAGGACGGAGGCGGATCGAGGGGGTGCGCACGTACCGAGGTTAGGTCACGGCTCTCTCCACCAGCGATTCCGCGTTTCGCCGCGGGTCCCTGGGAAACGGTACACCTGCCATCTTTCCGCTCAACGGGCAGACGACGGCGAAGCAGCACGGTTTCGCATCTCCCTGCGCGCCGGCAGCCCCGCAGCTAGCAGCCATGCGAGTTTCTTCGCCTCGTCTCTTTCTCCTCCAACGATGCCATCCGCGATCAATTCATTACAGAGGCGAGGAGGAATCACTAAATATCGTAACACGGGCCGACTCTCTTCGTGTTCTCTCTCTACATCAAATATCGCGGTGGTCTGCGCTACGATATGCCCGGTGGTTGTCTTCCACATTTTTCTTTTTCGAGAACTTCAAGTTTCCATACTCCGAATGAGTTTACGAGATCCCCGTTTTGAAACATTTGGCCATTTGATTTTTCACTTCAATGTGAGGTCTAAAACTTATCCTAATACTTTCGAAGACCTCCAACTGGATAATCTCTGGATTTACAGGGTTTGGGTAGATGTCCGGCTTTGTGGTACTTAGGAGCACTATATCCTTTAATCCTTCGGCCATAGAATTGGTCTTTAATCTCCTCTCGACTCGACGTTGCGCTATCTCGTTTGCGATTCTTGGCTTGTATCATTCAAATGTACAAGATGTATATGACGTGTAGCGTATATTATAAGGATAAAAGTAGCAATCTCCGTTCGCTAATCACATGTGATCGCTCCCGAATTTTCCCACATAACGTGGCCTTTGGTTTACGGTCGCGTAAGGAGGGAGCAACGCGAGCAAGAAGCAGGAAGAAAAAGAGATCCGGTAATTTCACGGATGCGTAAGACAAGAAGGGAACCTTCACGCGGCTGCCCCACGTCAGTTTCGTAGAGCAAAATGTTTGTTTAAGTAAGCCCGGAGCCAAACTCTTTTTACTTGTCTTTTCCCGCACGAAATTGATGATTGCGCGCACCGCTAATATGGCCACAACGGTTACGCGCGGAGGGAAAAGAGAAGGAAAAAGACGCGATGACGCGCGCTATGCAGAAGCACACAACGAAGGGAGATTTTATAATTCCGAAATAATCACCGAGAGAGAGAGAGAGAGTAGCCGTCGAATCAAGTTCTCATGTATAATACGAATTCTGGAATTTCGATCGAGCTTGTTCGTTACGAAAAATCTCAGGCTGTTTGTTTTTCAATTAGAAAAAGGAAAAAATCAATAATAATACGAATATTTCTCTGTAAACGCGAAGAAGGAGAAAGGAGTGATAATAGAATTTGATTATTCAAACGATTCTTTTTAAATGGAAACACTCATCCAGAAATCAAGACGCCTCCGCAAAGTTACGTTTTCGTTACACAAGAAAATCTTTTTAGACAACTCCAAAATATTCAAGGCGATTTGTCCACGTGTGTTTACGGCGCATATCGAAAACAATTCCTTTTGTTTTTCTCGCAGAACGTGTCCTTCGCGTGAAGGATCTCGCCGAGTGGAAAATTGTACCGGCCTGGGTGAATAACGCCAATTGTTTGTCGTAGAGATAAAATACAAGAAGGGCTGTGCATTGACTTTCTCACCCTCGAATCGCGGTACTTAGCGACGAGGTACCCCGTCGGGGTGAGTGGATCTGTGTATTTGCGTGGATTATTGAAAAGCCAATAATGGCATGGGCGTTTACGTCCGGTACAAATAACTCTACCCCTCGACACGTTTTCGCTCGCCCGCACGAGCGAAAACTTTTGGCTAACCAGCGTGAATGTGAGATGATTGTAACAGGGTGTTTCTCAATTGGCGTCTGTCTTAAGAAACATTCTGCATGACACAACAGTAGTCTCGCCGAATGCGTTCGGCCGCTTTCAAATGATATTTGACGAAAGGCTCACGCTGGTGGTCGCCTTTGCCCCGGGATGGATTTACTCTAACCCCATCTGCCGAAACACGTGCTTCGGATAAAGCGAAAGAGATTTACAATGAGGTTTTCAACCCATCAACCCGCCGAAAGATAGAGTATATCCCTATCGGCCTTTCGGAATCCTCTCGACGAGCGAGCCCCGCCGAACCCAAAACGATATTGGCCTTTCGGAATCGGACGCGCCGGAAATACTCAGCTCGCAACCTGGGCGGTCTCTACGAATTTGTAGAAAATTGTTTCCTCCGAAATCCGCACACTTGACCATTATGATTTTTCGCGATATTTTTCGCTTATATTCTCGCTTATATAATCGCCTGCCATCTCTTCCCCTTTCCTTCTTCGCTCGATTCGCATCGTGGTATTTACGGATATCGATACCGTCGGCCACAATACGCCCTCGCCGTCGACGGAATAACGATTCTCGGTTCGCGAGTAAAATTAATCGCCGGCCGGCGGATACGACGTGTAACCGTACGTATAACCGTCATAAATACCGAAAGCGCGAAAAGGCGGATTCGCCTCGGGATGACGGAACGGAGCATAAACGTTTCCGCTACGCGAGATGCTACGATATTAATCCATCGAGAATTCCGCCGATGTATGCGCCCATTTCGCGCGGCTTTCATACGGAAACGAAAGAAATTGCAGAAATAACTCTTGTCCACGTGGTTCTCACGTTTGTGATCAATTTTTTATTCCTTTAACGCTTCCACCCCCTATCTGCCTCCCAGAGAACGAATTCAAATTACTTTCGAAATAATAAATACGCGCGCAATGTGCACGCGTTATAGGTCGCCATCGGTCGCCCCGATGCAACAATTAAACGTCGAGTTATTTTAACGCCTACTTAGCTTATTTTCACAGCGCAGTCATCAATATTTCCGCCGGTAGTTCCGTCTCGATAAGTACATGTAAAAACATATTTCACATCCGAACGCAATGTGTCGCGCGGCGTAGCGACAATAAACATCCGGAATTTTCATTAATAATACTTTGGCAGGTGCGCGTCTCGCGCGTAAACAGAACGACGTGTACGCGAGGTGGATTTCGTGACGGGTTGAAAGGCACAAACATTATTCGAGATTTTTACGTTTATTTCGTAAGTGTGCTCGCATTCGCACGATTCTTCCTAGGTATTGTGGTAATGGTGTATAATAATAATAATATTATTAATATATAGCAATACGTTTTGCATATATATATATATATATATATATACATATATATATATATATATAGATCTGTCTATTTATACATATATAATGTCTCGCGTTCTATACAGCCTCTATATGTGCATATATATACATGTATGTATACACACGCACACACATAGATATTACAAGGAGTAAATATAGCATTTATACATACTCTTTGTAATAATATACACGCAGAAATCTGTTCACCTACATACGTTACGATCGATTGGCATTAAACGCTAATTATTCACATGATCCGTTTATGATCGATAAATATATATATATATATATATATGTATATATATATTATCTCAGCTTTCTCGAGACGAGAACGCCGCGAATCCCCGGCGCGAGGAACGACACGATAACGACGGATAAATGCACGAGGAGAAAGTGCAAAGAAAGCACGATAACCCATTAATCGCTAAAATTATTACTCCTTTTTACAACATTTTTTTTACGTATCTCCCTTGCGTAATGTCTCACCGACAAACTGTCGTCCTGTGAAATCCTCCCGATCTTTTCCACGTCATCTTCAGAGACGGAAAAACTAAAGTGGCGCAAATTTACGGCCGTCGACACTCAAAACTCGAGAACACAGTCGCCTCTCTCATAATGTGTGCGCGCGCGCACACACATACACACATACCCTCACACACACATATTATTAGATAAATTTTACTATCGCGCCACTACCGAGACGCTTGAAAGTCGTAACGTTGAAAATGCCACCGTTTACCGATGAAAGCCGCTTCTTCCTTGCTTGAAGCAATTTGCGATCAATATACGGAAACAACGCACAAACGTGTCTTACCGAGTCGCTCATAACGTCCTAAAGTAATTTTTTAAATAAATATTATTGCCTGCTATGTATAGAAACGATCACGTGAGTTTCGCTATTACGGGGACACGATTGCGACACGCTGTTATTAAAAGGCCAAACCGGCTCTATTTAACAATCTGAATGAATAAAACATCCGTTTATTCCCCAAGCAGCTCGCTTACTCGCTATATACATATACACGACGTCGCGTTAAATAAGGAAAATTCGAAGACACGGCATAATGACCGCCGCGAAAAGAGCACTTCGATCGGGAAATGCTGAAACGCACGCCGTCGATAGCGCGCGAACAAACAATGATTTTTTCACGCGTTTCCAAGGATAGCGAAAACATATTTTCGCCGACTCCTCTGCCGCGCATCGTGAAACGCCGTGAAAAATCTCATCTGGACGATCGACGCGACGACGACTTTGATTCGTCCTTATATATACCGGTCGGAAGCAGACGATTGGCAAACAGAGACGCGCCGATATTTTCGCGTGCAATTTACGACGGTTTGCACAGATGCGCCCGAAAACGATGGCCGAAAAAAAGTTCACGTAGGTCAGTGACAGACTCGCGCGATATTTGCGCAGGTGAAAACGATCGTGTTGAAATTTATATATTTCCTCGAGACTTCTCTCTCTCATTCATTCAATTCGAGAGTAAGATAAGGAGGATCTGGAATTTACGATGTTGTTGATCGAGAGCGGTGAATCATCCCTCTCTTCCTCGCTCGGAGAAGGAAACTGCGATTCGCGCGTATACTATTTTCACGGTAGAAACGACTTCCTGTCTGTATACGGACTATCGAATCATTGAATTGGTACATTACCCTGCCAATCTCCGTAATCACTAACAATCACAAAAACAGCCATTTGGCTGAAATATGTACAGAAATTGGATCGTTGCACGTATCGTCACTCCCAGTGAAGAAGTGGCGTACCTCGCCGGGAAATCTCGATAGTTGTACCCTTCGTGCAACTAAACTCGTCAATCTACCGAGGATTTTCCGCAAGGCGAGTCCACGACGGTGGTTACCGGATGTGTTTAGTTCCACTCCTTGGCGAGCTCGTCCGTCGAAGGGATCCATTCCTGCTTCACGTAAACCAAGCTCGGGTCGTAGTGATCGCCGTGAGGTTCTTCAAGGTCCCGCTGATGGGACCTTGAATTTCGATATTCTCAGTACTTGTGCAATGTGATTGGTAGATTGCCACTGGTGTTGACGGCGTTGCAGTCTTGGTAGTATCTATGGTACAGCGGCGGGGACGGTGCCGCGCCCGTCGAAAGCGGCGTCGGCGGACTGGATCTGCGACAAATTCGGTTTCCACAACCTCACTTACTTCGATCCAGCGCGAACATGTATCAAGCCGATTTCTGCACGTATCTAACGGTGGCTTTTAATTTCTTCCATGCAGGGGTGATAAACTCACCGTGCAACGGACTTTCGCAAGAAAGCGTATCGCTTCCGCTAATGGTAAGCTCAATTTACCCCCGGGACAAAAGAAACTTTGGCATTTCGCGCTCTCACCTATAAAGCTGGCAGCTCGGGGACTGGGTGTCCTGGTAGATGGCCGTGTCGGGGCTGGCGGCGTCTTGGTACCACTGCGAGTGGCCGACCGCGTTGTTGTGGTTCCTCGAATTATACTCGGCATGGTCCATGATGTATCCGGCGGTCGGCGTGCAATACGGCGCGTACATGGTGCCGGGCGGCGAAGCGTTGCCCCTGGAGACGCTGCTCGAGTGTCCGTAGCCCGTGGTGGCCATCATCGCAGCGACCGCGGCCGTGGTGGTGGTTGTGGTGGTGCAGACGGAGGACAGGTCTCTGCTGCCGGAACTGACCATCGACTCCCTGCTGCTGCCGCTCATGATGGAGTGAGGGTGCTGGAGAGCGTGCGGGTGATGCTGATTGTCCCGAGTCATCAGCCCGGTGTTCTCCCGCGTGGTCATGAGAGCGTCGACGCTGAAGCTGGTCGGGTCCAGGCCCATCGACACGTCCTGTATGGGCTCTTGGTGCACCTGGTGCGCCTGATGGCCGAGAACGGTCTGAATGACGCTCTGACCGGTGGCTTTGCTCTCCGGCTGTATCGGACTGTGCAACCCGTACTTGGCTTGCACCGCCATGCAGTGATTGCCGGCGGCGGCGTGATCGTTGACCGGCTCGCGCTTCGGTTTGCACAGGGCGGTGGTCTCGAGGGAGCCGAGCTTCTTCGGAGCGTCCGTCGACGGCGGCCCGCCGGATTTGCCGTGCTCCTGCTCGCGCTTCTCGCCCACCAGGCCCTGCCGCTTCATCGCCTCCTCCTTCTCCTTCAGCGCGTCCTTCTTCTTGAAGCGTCGCCGTCGCCTCAGGTACGAGCCGTTGTCGAACATGTTGTAGCTGTCGGGGTCGAGGGACCAGTAGCTACCCTTGCCGGGTTTCTTGTCGTCCCGCGGCACCTTGACGAAGCACTCGTTCAGGCTGAGGTTGTGCCGAATGGAGTTCTGCCAGCCCTGCTTGTTCTCGCGATAATAGGGGAAGCGCTCCATGATGAACTGGTAGATACCGTTGAGCGTGATCTTCTTGTCGGGCGCGTTCTGAATCGCCATCGCGATGAGCGCGATGTACGAATAGGGCGGCTTCACCATGTCCTTGCCGGCGTGATGGATGTGCTGCTGGCCGATACCCGAGACCGGGTAACCCGCGGCCGTCGCGTAGCCGCCGTAGCGATACTGATCGTAGTAGCCGGGCGCGGCACCAGGGTACGACGGCGTGCCCATGCCCACCGGCACCGCCGTCGGGTGCCGATAGTACGCGTTCTGTTCGCCGAAGAGCGTGTGCATCTCGTCGATTGATTAATCCCGGTCAGGCACTCGGAGGACACTCTCCTGTGATAATATTATCGGGCTTCTTTGCGCGCGACTTAATATCCGTAATCACTCGGAGCACGCGCACTCGTCACTGCATCGCTGCGATCATCGATAGATCGATCGTCCGATCGCGCAGCCAGCCCGGCCGCCGGCGCGCGCGCGCGCGCGCGCCTACCTGCTATTTAGTATCGCAGGGATACTTTCGGTCTTGGCGTACCGACGCAGAAGACGCGAAGAAGAAGGTGCATTGAGTGATCGGTCGGTCGACGCACGCTAACCCCGTAAACCCGCGTGCACGCGTATTATGATACACAACAGGCCGGAGTTTACTCAACCCCGAGTAAAAACACACTGGGAGCCTCGGCGTCGCGCGCGCGACCGAGTGCTCGGCGCGGCCGCGAGGAACGGCTGCGCCGGGCGCGCTTTCGAAAAATCACGAGGTTCTCGCGCCGCACTATTGGTCGCGGCTCCTGCCGCGGTTCCACCCATGGCGCCGCGCTCTATCCGCACGACCAGGAGAACGTAGAGCCGCCCCGGACGACGAGCCCGCCAATGGTCGCGCTCTCCCCGGTCCTTTCACGCCCTCGCCGCGCCGGAGCGGGAGGATCGAGATCGCGCGGAATTTTTCCGCGGCCGTCGGATACTTTTCGCGACACCGGCTGCGACTACGAGCCCGCGGATTAAGGAACGAGTCAGGGAGCGAGTGATAGTTGCATGCGTGGTGCCTCGAAGCCGAGGTGTCGAAAGTGTTGGATGTTTAGGGTGACAGTGACGAGACAATCGTCTCTCGCCGATCGCATCTCCCTTCGACCCTCCGGCTGTTATTTGTGATCGACTGGTCGGGTTGTGAAGAGCGTCGCGCTGGTGTCTTGAAAAAAATTCACCCCCTCCGTCTGCATTTTCCCTTCTCGTGCATTCGCTTACTTTACCGAAACTTTACGCGCCTCTTACCTAGCTGGTCGAATAACTAATTCCGCCGCACGAATAAGAGAGACGTCGGTCAGGATAACGTCGTCGTCACGTGGACGTTCTTACACTTTCAATTTAGCGTCTGTTTTTTCAAGGGTTCGACTCCCGCCTTGCGAAAACACTCGACGGAACGCGTCGCCACCCTCCCTGGTCGCCAACTTTCCGTCGCTTTATCCAGGTTCTCCAAATATCTCGGAGATCGCCCTCCGCCAATTAAATCGATATCGAGTTGGCCGCGAATTCGGCTTCTTCCCCGCGCTCGCGTCTCTAGAAATGATCCCTCATTACAATTTGCGTATCTGCACTCGTGCGAGTAGCGGTATTTTCTCGAGCAAATTGATCGTCACCCCTACCCTACGATCAGGCGGTTAATTTTCATTTAAATGGAACGACAAGCGAAACGCTCTAGGCATTCCAGCCCCAGATCCACGAGATCTCTTTCCCCACCTCTCCACCGTCGCCCCGAGCTGTCGCGAAGCGACCAAGATGCAAAGTTCCGGCAAAACTTTAATTGTTCTCTTTAGGTTCCTCCCGATGCAATCTATAATGCAACGATCGATCGATCCTCGCAAAGAATGAGGAAAGAAACGATGTACATCCGACCGGATTTACCTAGTGGATGTTAATAAGACGATCTCGTGAAACGAGGTTTGTTCGTAATCGGGATCAGCGTCGATTCGACAAGAGCAATTTGTTGTTGCCCCAGGGGGGACAAGATCGATCACGGGCGAAGCTCGTCAAATTAATTATAGATATCATTATCGACGGTTCTTCCGTCCGCAGTGTTACGCGGCAGTATTTTCGAAGAAAAGAAGGACCACTTTCAATGTTGCATCGGCCGCGCGATTTTTTCAAATATAATTCAAATATTTGCCGCGTGATTTTTAGACAATAACATTTGATATTTTGTCTCGTACCGGCGCTGCAAATATTTTCCCAAAGTGCACTGTAAATGTGTTTGGAAAATATCGAAACTTTTCAAAATAAACGTCGCCTCTTGACCTATCTCACGCGACCGGATTCTCGGCAATATGAACATCCGCGTGCCCCTCTTCTTTCTCTCGTCCAGAAACAATAAACCTCTTATTTCGCGTTACGGCGTATCGTCGTATCAGTCTCGCCGGATTCCGCACCACTTTCGCGAAAGAAAGTGCGCGATGACGCACACCAGACGTTATAAATAGCGTCGGGTAATGTTATCGGTATTTTACGTGAATAATTGGCGTCTGCTCGAATGGGTTTATTATCTCGCGCTATATTCACTGGAATCGCGCTGGAATCCGACACTTTCCGCGTTCTCCGCTGATTTTCCGTCTTTTGCGAATTTTTCACAATTTCGAAACAAAGCCCGACTGCTCGCAACGCGAGTTCTCGCCGATTCTATCCGGGGAAGAAGCGCGATCCGATTAACTCCGGGAGAACACTCGTTCCGAGGATTCCGTATGTTTCTCGTCTCGGTTACGACGCCGATGTTTACACAGTGCGGTGAAATTTAATTCCCAAGACCTTCGAACTCACGAGCGAACCCCCTCCCCGAGCGTAAACCAATACTCACGCTCAATGTTGAAAATGGCGCCGGCATCCCCAGAGCTGCGGAGGAAGAAGCAAGGAGTGTACCGTTTCCGCTTTGATTTTCAAAAGCCGAAAGAAAATAGGCCGCCTAATTACAACGATTCCTCTCGTTTCCGCTTGTTTGTTCGCGCGCCGAATTTCTGCATCGTGTCTCGCGCGATGCAATCGGTCGGTTTACGCACACCGACTCAGGAATATGACGCGGTACGACGCACGATGCGATCGCGCATAAAGATAACAAACAGGGCGTTGCAGCGTCTGCTGTTTCTCAAATCCGCGGAAAAAAAAGTTAATCCAACCGATTCTTCCTCCCCCCTCGAAAATGGCGGTTTCTCGCGCACGAAAGTGAGGGAGGAAATGAATTTTCTCGACGATGGATCTCGCCGGTTAAAAGTAGGAAACCTGCGCGGCCGCCGATAGGATTGAGCCGCGCCCGGCGAGGGAAGCGAGCCGTGAAGAGGACCGAGGCGGAATTCGAGCGAACAATGCATACCGGGTGGCAATTTCACGCGACAAGTCCCGCCATCAGCATATCAATGGGCCCGGGCGGGATTATCTGGATGTGCCGCAGTGATATTCCGCGGTTGGCTCCGACAGATAGGGTTGCGCAGTTTCGTGTATAATGCGGTTCGATCGCGGTTTGCCGCGTGAATCAATCCGCGCCAAAGAACGCACACGCGTCAGATTAAATAGACACATTACGGAGCGTCGAGTGAGCGACGGTTTCTGTTTTATTTCCTCGCCAAGATATCATTCGCTCGCCGATTCGTGCGGGCGTATCGAAAACTTTTGCGAATTTTGTAACCGTGTCGATGCAGATCGTTTATTTATTTTCCTCTTTGATTTGCTCGTTTGATTTCGGTTGGTTTCGCGACGGATTTTAGCGAATCACTCTGAAATTGATTGCCGATAAGAGCATCGATGTCACGGCAAAGTGTGTCGCCCTCTCTCTTTCCCTGCGACAGGTCAGAACGTCGCTAATATTTTGATACGAGCTTAGTTACGTTACAATGCGACCGACTCGTTCAGGACGAAAACAAACGTTCCCCCCGTGCCCTCTCTCTCGTTTATTTTTCTTGAAAACGTATCAGCCGCATTTCCTTCCTCATTGTCTGGCTTGAAGAAATAAATCGTCTCGTCTCCTCTCTGGCAAAGTTTCCGCTCTCCTAGACCCTTCGATTGCAGGGATTCTTTCGCTACAAATTAAGCGTCGTGATATCATATCGTCTTCGCCGGTGCAGGAGGGTGCGTTTATTACCACTCACAGGTGGCTTACCTGTATTTTGACCTTCGTTAACAACGCGAAGATAATGGCCATAGAGAGGAGTAAACGCGCGCGGTGGAAGCACCGGTTTTCTCGTGGGCGGGTAACGCGGCTAATTCCGACTGTTTGGTTAGCAAGCATTTAAGGTTTGTCTTGGCTGTTGCTTCGTGTCTTTTAGACAGCCGATCTGTGTTCCGACCAAATGAAACGGAAGCTAAACGCTCCTGACGAGGTGACGAGCTGACGAGGTCGCGCGATTAGCGTGCCACGCACGACAGGATATGCGTGCGAACTCGTTATCGAACTCGCCCGGATGGATCTTTTCCATTTCGTTCGACCGGCAACAAACGCTCGTTATTCCTTATTTCACGACCGGTCACACTCGTTGTTAATATTAAAAATCTCCGCCAAATAGACTGCGATAGGTGCGGAATGTATTTTTTTAAACAGTCAGGATTTAAATAGTAAATAAATAGTGTAAAATACATCTCGCACAATGAATTCATCCCGTCCTGAACGGCGCGAAAAACGTAGCGGCGCGTGGGCGTAAACAAGTAAAAGTTAACAAAACAATCCACACGTCAGCTCGCACCATGCGTTAAAATGTCGACGTCGGTCGCAGCCTGCGAAATGACTGTTCGCGTATTATACAAGTGCGGCTAAACGCGTGTAAAAAATGCCCATTACGCAAATTAGGTGGGAAATGTGATAGTGTATTTTGTCGAAATACACACATCGATACGCGCAAGTTAATATCACTATTTGTCATCAACATACGTCCGTGTTTTTATTGTCCATTTTCGTCCATTGACACGTTTTTTTTTTTTTTCACGCGAACGCTGCTAAAGATTTTTTTTCCATGGCGCCTGACGAAATTTTGCTTTTTCATTCGCGCACATTATTTGGCAGATTAATTCAGCTGGCGAAAATATCAGTTCGAAACACGGGCACTTGCGTGAGATCCAGCCTTCGCCTGGAAGTCAGTTTGGCGTTTCTCGATTAAACTGCCGAGATCCTTGTCGCGGGAAAACGTATCCTTGGGAGATAAGCCTCGATTCTCACGGAGATAGATTCTTGCAATTGCTGGTTGATTAAAATGAATAAAAACGCGACGTTACCGACGCGAAGGATTAGACGTCGGTAACGTTTACGGACGCACGGCTGCGGCACGACCGGGAAGGGAGGAACGTGCTCTTATGTCGACGGTGTTTGTTCAGCCGCAACTTCTCTAAATCTTTTGTGCGGAACACACGGTGCGCGCGGCTGTAGACTCGCGTGTTACATCAAGTAGCTATCGCGGGGTGCAACCACGAAAGTACGCGGAACGTTTCTCGCTCCCGCCAGAGTATTTCGGTATAAAAAGGATGTGGCGACGAAGAGAAAGGAAGCCGAACATTTCACCGAGACATTTGCTTACAGTTTTGTAATAAGCCCTTCCCCAAAACTGTTTCGGCCGATCGATCGGAAATGATTTTCACGATGAAAGGGGTTAGCCGAGGGAATCCGCGATATTC